GCCATTCAAGGTGTATATGTCATTCTTTTTTCAGACGTTATATAAAAAAAAAACCATGGCTCTTCCAAGCTTTATAATGGCAGTGAATGGAGGTCCTGATTTTGAAGCCCAAAAAAGTGCATTCATCCATAATAAAAGTAATCCATACGACTTCTGGGGATTAATAAAGGCCTTATGAAGCGATGCAATTGTGCAAGAAAAATATCCATATTTATAACTTTATAAACTAAATTAACTAGCTTCCGACAAACGGCCGTATGCATCGATTTACGGCCACCAGTCGTGAAACCAGTCACGAATTAGAAGACTAAAACGAGAATTTTTAAAGAGAAATGTCGGATGATTTCGATGAGAAGAGGAGCCCAGCCCTATTTGTTTGAACCGTGAGAGGGGTCAAAGCTTACACTTCTCCTACATCGCATCAAGTGTTACTCTTTTGGCACAAGTCAACTTGCGTAGGCCGTCTGCCGGAAGCTAGTTATCTTAGTTGCTAAAGTTTTAAATATGGATATTTTTCTTACAAAAACCCATCGCTTTGCTTCAGAAGGCACTTATTAACCCCCGGGAGTCATATGGATTACTTTTATGATGGATGGATGCACTTTTTTGGCCATTCACTGCCATTAAAGTAACACTATGTAGTTTTCCAACCTTCATAATATATTTCCAAGACCCTTGTGATGGTACATCGACTTACAATAGGTTAAATGACACGTCTGCCATAGCCTGACGTGGTCTGTATCGCTTTTACTTGCACTATGTAACTTCGGGTTTCGGGTAGTAACCGGAGTACAAAAAGAACTACAAAATTCGACTGCTTTACGGCATACGTCACTTCCCCCACCACTTCCTCAAATTGTCTGTGGCCATTGCAGACATCCCAACCTCCCGGGAGTCTCCCGCATATTGATAGCGTCTCCCTGATGCCCGCAAATTAGTTCAAATCTCCCGGAATTTAGAGCGCGCATGCTAAACAGAACATCCTGCGCGCATAACATACAAAGCGTGCGCACGGCAGAGAGGGAGAGAGCGAGAGACCTTGCGAGTGTGCCGCAGTAGACTGCGGTAGGCTAAATTATTTACGACAGCGGTAATGGACAATTCCTCTTCCAACCTGTAGGGCGACCGCAGAGGAAAAGTTACTTGGTGTTGCTTTAAAAAGCTTGGAAGAGCCAGGATATTTTTTAATATAACTCCAAATGCGTATGTCTGAAAGAAGATAGTCATATACACCTAGGATGGCTTGAGGGTGAGTAAATCATGGGATAATTAACATTTTTGGGTGAACTAGCTATCCTTTTAAGCATATATCAGACATCGGCTACCCGGTTCACTAAACCTTTAGCCATATCGGTTGACCACTTCAGATACCTCAGACCTCTTTTTCTAGACTTTTTGTTTCTCTTTCACTCTCTCTCTGACACAGGGCGAAGGGGAAGCCATATGCCAACTGTCTGCAAACAATTTACACACATATACACAGACCTTCAAGCTCAAGGCCTGACATGTCCGCTCAGATCAGCCGTTCCACATCATGGTCCTGTGCTGTTCTGTCTGACCCTGTTAGCAATACTGACTGTAGATAGGCTAACAAAGCTTGAGTCTTTTGCCAATGAGGCAATGCCAACAGTACTGGCATTATACAGCCTACATAAGAGCTCTAAAGGGACTGGGCTGGAGTTTTCAACAGCTTTCAGTAGTTTTTAAATGTTGATTTAAGCATGTTTGCTTTTTTTGCTATCAGTGTACTTTAGGGATCGCTGGCTCTGGCAACACACTAACAGTCTCTCGTGAGCAAATGCCCAAGGTTAAAAAAATACTTGTGTGTTTTACTGTATGTAGACGCTACTGGACTTGATTCAAAGCCAATTCAGCGGGATCTCTCACGTGCACACGCACATTAAGAAAACACAGAGGAAATCCAAATTAAAAGGACAAAGCAAAGTGCTTTTAGTGCAGTTAGTGAGACAGATGTGTAACAAGCTAAAGTGTTCCCAAGGGAGGCTAGACTGTCAAATTTAGACAGCAGTACATTGTCTATGTATCCATAGACAACTTTCCCCATTTGTCTATGGATACATGCTATACGAGACAGTTATTTATTTCACCCTTAATACAGAATAATTCCCTCAACTTTTGACCAATGAACTGCTATTACTCTTCCAATTACTTCTCAACTTACTGGGTAAAGACTTTTGAAGGCAAGACACTACATGAAAAAACCATTGTTTTTTCATGCACTTGTCAAATTTGAGATTTTGGGATATTTTGCTTCCATAACAATGTCTTCTTTGAGACTATTGAAAAGAAAACATAAAATACACATTTACGTGTTTATTTTATTACACTATCTATTTGCGAATGAAGATTTAAATTAAAATACATCTTTAAAGGCCAGAAATGGCCTTTATACCAGAAATGTCCACTTCAGCTGCACTTACATAAGGCAAACTTTCTAGTTTAATTCCTATTTATATTCTGTAGGCTTTTACAGAGGAGTTTGTTCATTTATCATTCATATAAAGTTTTATTCCTAAAAACATGGGGAAATGGTTTTTTTCTGGCTATTTTTTTACAGTGACGCATTGCTGCCAAATACATATTATTTTTTCCACTCAGTTATGTCGTAATAACGAGGCGTTATGTCGTAAAAACGAAATATTTTCTCGTAATAACGAGATGTTATGTCGTTTTAAAATCATATTTTCTCGTAATAAGATAACGAGATGTTATGTCGTTAAAACGACAAATTTTCTAGACCTTATAAGGACATGCGTAGTCATGTAGCTACAAAATATGCCTTTATCCACATAAAATGTACATAGCCTATCACGCCTTTATCATCTACGTTAAAAAGGCTAAAGCAATAGCAGCCCCCAAGGACATTCATGTTAAAAGATCAAATTCTGTACACACCTTATTAATAAAGCATGTGTAGCCTACAGAATAGATGAGCCCAGAATATGAACATTGCGTTTAATTAGGCCTACACATTAAGCGTTTTCCTCCCATAGAAACCCGTTATAAAGAAAACTCCAACGTGGCTTTCTATGGGAGGATGGCATTGCGATGCACAACAAATCCTTTAAATTGTAGATGCAATGCAAAACAAAAATGAAAATTATAAGTAGCCTATAAAATAAAAAAATGATTGTGGCATTAATTAGCCCACAAACAATATTTATTTTAAAGCCTAAACAAATTTATTTAAAGCAAAACACCATGCAGCGTTGGGCGTTTATCTGTATACTATAGTGTTGTGTTTCAGCCGCCCTTTTCAAACTGGCGCAGCGCTTAGCTTACTCGCTGTAGAAAATTGCATGATTTGATTTGTTTAACATGAAGAGGACTTATCCGTCTGGCCGCTCGCTCTAACGTTAACCTCGATATTTGTTCGCTATTATTGGGTGCATATCCAAGTGTTTGTGCGGAGCGCGCTCACTGCATAACATGGAGGCGCAGGCGGAACACTTGCATTTTCTTAATATCAACAGTGGAAACAACTTAAAATACTCAATTTCTGGTCAAACAGAAAAGAATACATCATTCGATCACTTTTATTTGTGTAAACTCACAATAACAAGAATACGTTGTGCTTTTGTAAAAGAAAAGAAAACGAACAGTACGCGCTTTCATGGTCTCCGTGAATTGGAGCAGACATGGGAAATATATCTACTTTAATGCTTGAAATGTCCACCAACGAAGAAAATCGAATGACTATGGTCTATAAAAATCTTTAGTCTATGGCAACTGTAATCAATAGCCTACATTTAATAGTTGACATTAATTAGTAATTAGTATCCAGCTCTTTACATTAAATTAGTTAAGGCATAAAGTTAATGAACTACTAAAATAACAAAATAAAGTTTAAATTAAGATGCTAACCATGTATTTCTATTTAGCATTGCTTATTCCACCACAATGACTGTTTTTAAGGTGTACAATCTGTTATACATGTGAAGATTGGCTGTATCTTGAAGAGTTTTGTATTGTATTGTATCTTCTGTTATAAAGACGAAGATTGACATTTCGTTAATTTAAAAAAAATAAGAACACAATGTTGTAAAAACAACAACAAAAAAACAGGCTATTCTGTTGTTTTGACTGCTTCTTGTTTAATTATAGGCTCTCTCTAGGTAATGAAGATATAGCCAATTAACAAAAATAAATCGTATTGTTTAAAAAAAATGTATTAGGCCTATATAAAATATATTTTAAAAAAGGGCCTTACCGATTAATTTTGCCTGGGGCCCCCCAGTCAGTGTAGGTTCGCCTCTGATTGGGGGCTGCTGCTATTTGCTTCAGCTTTTTGAACGTAGAAGTATGATAAAGGCGTGATAGGCAAATTTTATGTGGATAAAGGCATATTTTGTACATGACTAGGGCTACACGTGTCCTTATAAGGCCAATAAAATATGTCGTTTTAACTACATTGCATCTCGTTATTACGAAAAAAATATGTCGTTAAAACGACATAAGATCTCGTTATTACGACATAATTGAGTGGAAAAGTAAAATGTATGTGGCAGCAATGCGTCAGCGTAATTTTCTCATCGTAGCAAATGAGTGCATATTTGTTTAGACGGTACCTAATTTGAATACAATTTTAGAAAATGTGTAATACAAAACATGTCCTAATGTGCTGCGATTCATCAACTGGGAAAGTAAGGTGACATCTTTGTTACATTTTTTTTTAACCCCATACACATAAAATACGTCTTGCCTTGAATCACTTTATAAAGACTGCACCCACAAAGACAAAATTCTAGCCCATGAAATGAAAAGTACAACTAAGAATACAATACGTATGTTAAAATTTCCAGATTTTTCAAGCTGGCTGTGGAACCCTTGAAAAGAGAGCCACGATTTAACCAGTCACATCCATGTGTGTCAAAACAGCTACAAGTCTATGCATAATTTATAGTTGAGGTTGGCAAGTAGAGAGACATGCACGAAGACACACATGAGATGTAAGTGCTGGATCATCATGGCAGTCTTACCTTAGGCAGCTCTCTCAGCTGGTTGGCGTCCAGGAGCAGCTCCTCCAGACTGCGGTTGTAGCGGTAGATCTCATCGGGCACCGCAGTGAGCGAGCAGTGCCGCTTATCCACAGACTCAACGTGACGGTTGCACCGCCACAGCGGGATACACTTCAACATGTCCCGGGCGCACTCAGCCCCTCCGCATCGGGGACTCACTTAAGCAGCCAAATGATGAGGATACAGGCTGGTGCTGCCGGGTGTCTCTCCCTGGACTTTATCCACCAAAAGCAGTCAAATAAAAGCCCCTGCGTGAACGTTTCTCCAGCAAATGTCCACTGACTCCAATGATGGTAGGGGACATCCAGATGATTAGTCCAGTCAAGAGTTAATGAGAGTTAGCTCTTCATAAAGTATTTCCTCATACACAAGACGAGTTACTCAGCAAATTCACAGTTTGGTTCAACTTAAGCCGAGTGAAGTCAACTACACACTCACATTTTATGTTGTACACAGTTTTACTGCATAAAAATCTCTTCGCTGAATTAAACGAGATTATGTCGCACGGAACAAGTGACGCCACTTAGCCGTTAACATGTAACGTTAGAAGAAGCGGGGTTTAAATACGCCAAACTCGTTGGTTAATGCCACGTGCCCTGTTATCAGACATGGTTTGTCTTGTAATAATAATAAAAAAGAGATCTAATAATCAGACTACATCATGTCCGTGAGGCTGCTGTACACACGACGATATGCTACAGCTAACTGATTAGCCAGCTGCAGAACGCTATACTTCTGCAAAATACACCAGCCAGCCTCTAAACAAAGACAAAACAACTCCAAACTACTTACAGACGTGTGTGTTTCTGAGATATGTGAGATATAAGAGGGACTGTTATGATGAGATCACATACACAGCAGCAACAGGCTAAGAGCAGCAGGCCGGTCTGTGTGTGTATGTGGGGGGGCTGGGCTTGATCTCACCCGCTCCAGAGACACTCCACCGGCTTTGTGCTCCTCTGCTGCCCGTCCTAGTATCGAGTCCTGACTGATTCGTCACAAACCTCTCTATCCTCCTCATGTAGATGGTTAGCTTTAGGACGGACGCGCGCGACGCTCCTCCTGGGCTTTATCTGCCGGGGAATTTCCTGCTCTTGTAGGCGAGTGAGTGGAGGTAACGTTACTGAATTAAGCACGGCTTCAGTAGCTGATACATTCCCAGCTCCGCCTCACTGTTGTGAGTCTCTGCTCTGAGCGCCTCTCGCACGCAACTCCAACGGCACACAGCATCACTCTTGCTCATGCGAATGGCGACCTCTAGGAGTCTGGAGGAAGAAAGGGAGCGCTGAAGGGAAGCTAATGCTCGTTCGCCGCCCTGCGGAAAGGTTTTGGTACTGCAGCGTCGCATGGCAAGGCTGTTGCTCGAGGCCCGTTTGGTCATTTGACATGACACGAAACATATGCTGTTATAAACAAGGCTAACAATTTAAATAGCAAATAACAGATTTTGTCTGTCTGTCTATCCAGTGGATTAAGACTCTTCGGTGCCCCTGGGCACAGACACAGAGTGCCCGCCCCCCTCGTAATATCATAATAATACATTCAGTTACTATTATTATTATTACAACTTTCATTTCCAAATCCAACGTCTGTCCGACTTCGGATATTGACGTCAAATCTGACGTTGGGTTCTGACGTCAATCCAACTTTCATTTGACCAACCAAAATGACCAGCAGCCATGTCACCCTGTAGCCCAAGTCTGGTTCCCCACTGAAGCTAAGCAGGGCTGAGCCTGGTTAGTACCTGGATGGGAGACCTTCTGAGAAAACCAGGTTGCTGCTGGAAGAGGTGTTAGTGTGGCCAGCAGGGGGTGCTCACCCTGTGGTCTGTGTGGGTCCTAACGCCCCAGTATGGTAATGGGGACACTATACTGTCAAAGAGCACAGTCCTTCGGATGAGACGTTAAACCGAGGCCCTGACTCTCTGTGGTCACAAAAAATCCCAGGATGTCTTTCGAAAGAGTAGGGGTGTAACCCTGGCATCCAGGCCAAATTTGCCCAGTGGCCTCTGTCCATCATGGCCTCCTAATAATCCCCATATATATATACCAATTGGCTTCATCACTCTGTCTCCTCTCCACCAGTAAGCTGGTGTGTGGTGGGTGTTCTGGCGCAATATGGCTGCCGTCGCATCATCCAGGTGGATGCTACACACTGGTGGTGGTTGAGGAGATTCCCCCTTCTGTGTAAAGCGCTTTGAGTGCCGAGAAAAGCGCTATATAAATGTAATGAATTATTATTATTATTATTAAAATCCAACGTCTGTCCGACTTCGGATATTGGCGTCGTTCTGACTTCAACCCAACTTTAATTTCCAACCAAAATCCAACGTCTGTCCGACTTCGGATATTGACGTCAATCTGACGTTGGGTTCTGACGTCAACCCAACTTTCATTTCCAAACAAAATCCAACATCTGTCCGACTTCGTATATTGACGTCAATCTGACGTGGGGTTCTGACGTCAACGCAACTTTCATTTCCAACCAAAATCCAACATCTGTCCGACTTTGGATATTGACGTCAATCTGACGTTGGGTTCTGACGTCAACGCAACTTTCATTTCCAACCAAAATCCAACTTCTGTCCGACTTCGGATCGGATCTGACGTTGGGTTCTGACGTCAATCCAACTTTCATTTCCAACCAAAATCCAACATATGTCCGCCTTCGTATATTGACGTCAATCTGACGTTGGGTTCTGACGTGAACCCAACTTTGATTTCCAACCAAAATCCAACGTCTGTCCGACTTTGGATATTGACGTCAATCTGACGGTTCTGACGTCACCCCAACTTTCATTTCCAACCGAAATCCAACTTCTGTCCGACTTCGGATCGGATCTGACGTTGGGTTCTGACGTCAATCCAACTTTCATTTCCAACCAAAATCCAACATCTGTCCGACTTCGTATATTGACGTCAATCTGACGTTGGGTTCTGACGTGAACCCAACTTTGATTTCCAACCAAAATCCAACGTCTGTCCGACTTCGGATATTGACGTCATTCTGACGTTGGGTTCTGACGTGAACCCAACTTTCATTTCCAACCAAAATCCAACGTCTGTCCGACTTTGGATATTGACGTCAATCTGACGTTGGGTTCTGACGTCAACCCAACTTTCATTTCCAACCAAAATCCAACGCCTGTCCGACTTTGGATATTGACGTCAATCTGACGTTGGGTTCTGACTTCAACCCAACTTTCATTTCCAACCAAAATCCAACGTCTGTCCGACTTCGGACATTGACGTCAATCTGACGTTGGGTTCTGACGTCAACCCAACTTTCATTTCCAACCGAAATCCAACGTCTATCCGACGCTGGATATTGATGTCAACCCATTTTTCGGCACTGACACCTAGAGTGCCCCTCGTTTCCACTAGCCTAGCCTAGCGGAGCAGAGCGAGCGTTTTCAGTTCATATAGAAGTTTAGCTTCACGCTCACGCGCGAGCTTAAAGTTCAACTTCCATTGAAATTGAAAACTCACTCTGCCCCGTGCCAGTGGACGTGCTAGTGTAATATGGGCGTTGAAATTAAACGCGTGTTCACGCAGTAGTGTGAATCTGGCTGTATCGCGCATCCACAAAAAGAAAAAACGTATAAAATAATGAAAAAATAAACTTTCAACAAAACATTCAGGGAATTTAGAACGTTCTAAAGAAAGCTTATAGGCCTAGGCTAGAAATACGTTTGAGAATGAATCGCTTGAAAAAAATATTTGCGTGGTGCCCCTGGGCACTTGCCCAATTGCCCATATAGGCTATGGTTAATTCGCCTATGTGTCTCTACCTAGTGAAGGTTCACTTACATTCAAAGATCCTTTTCTAATTAAAATTACAACAATATTTAAGGAGGACATACACTAGACATGTCAGCAAGGTTACAAACTCGCACTGTAGCCTACGAGTAGATTGCATGCGATGTAAAGCTAAAGCTCACGATTTATGTGCTCACACTATATGGTCCGACCGTCAAGCTGCGACTTGTCTGCTCACACTACACGTGTGAAATATGCGCGATAAACCTTAAGAGACCATGATATCATGTATCCAGAGATCGATATCAGCATTTCCAATTTATGTATTAAATTATTATTATTATTAGGATAGGCCTACTTTTATTATTAAACACAATTTATTTGCCCCGCAATAATTTCATAGCGCATATCACTGCGGTGCAAAATGGGGTATGCAGTAGCCTATGCAGTGCATAGGGGCACCGGACAGAAGAGGACCATCGTGCCAAAATAATTCTTTTAAAATCTCCTTTAATAAAACTTTATAAATAATAAAAAATTATTTGTTGTGTTCTGCCTTACTGGGGGATATGGGGATCTGCGGTACGATCAGCGCAAGCCCGTAACCAGTCTGTGCTCCTGCCCAACAGTCTGCAGTTAGCATAAGCCCCTGACCAGTCTGTGCCCCTGCCCAGCAGTCTGCAGTTAGCACAAGTTCGTTACCAGGCTGTGGACCAGTCCAGTGGCCTACATTCAAGACAAGCTAGCTCTCAGTCTGGGTCCCAGTTCAGCGGCCTGCAGTAAGCATAATCCCGTTACCAGTCTGTGTCCCAGCTTAGCGGCATGCAGTTAGCTCAATCTAGTTGCCAGTCTGCAAAGCACACTTGGCCATCACCACACTATTTGTCGCAAAGAAAACTATCCTCTTACCAGCTCATAGTTTGTGGAAAAGTCTGGCATCCAACAACTAGCCTAAGCCAGCTCACAGTCTGGCATTCAACAACCCACCCAAGCCGGTTCACAGTCTGTGGACCAGTCTGGCATTCAACAACCAGCCCAAGCCAGATCAAAATCTGTGGACCAGTCTGGTATTCAACAACCAGCCCAAGCCAGCTCACAGTCTATGGACCAATCTGGCATTCAACAACTAGCCTAAGCTAGCTCACAGTCTGTGGACCAGTCCGACATCCAGCCTAAGCCAGCTCACAATCTGTGGGCCAGTCTGGCATCCAAAAACCAGCCCAAGTCAGCCCACAGTTTGTTGAATTGTCAGATAGCCTGCTGTCAGCCCAAGCCAGATCACAGTCTGTGGACCAGTCTGGCATCCAACAACCAGCCTAAGTCAATTCATAATCTGTAGACCAGTCCGGCATCCAACAACCAGCCCAAGTCAGCTCACATTCTGTGGACCTGTCTGGCATTCAACAACCAGCCCAAATCAGCTCACAGTCTGTGGACCAGTCAGGCATTCAACAACCAGGCTAAGCCAGCTCACAATCTGTGGACCGGCTTGGCATCCAACAACCAGCCTAAGTCAGCACACAACTTGTGGACCTGTCTGGCATTCAACAACCAGCCCAAACCAGCTCACAGTCTGTGGACCAGTCGGGCATTCAACAACCAGGCTAAGCCAGCTCACAATCTGTGGACTAGTCTGGCATCTAACAACTAGCCCAAGATAGCTCATAATCTGTGGACCAATACGACATCCAACAACCAGCCCAAGCCGGCTCATAATCTGTGGACCAGTCTGGCATCCAACAACCAACCTAAGTTAGCTTACGGTCTGTGGACCAGTCTTGTATTCAACAACCAGCCCATGACAGTTCACAATCGGTAGACCAGTCTGGCATCTAATAACCAGCCCAAGTCAGCTCACAGCCTGTGGACCAGTCTGGCATCCAATAACCATCTCAAGCCATCTCACAGTCTGTGGACTAGTCTGGCATCCAACAACCAGCCCAAGTCAGCTCATAACCTGTAGACCAGTCTGGTATCCAATAACCAGCTCAAGTCAGCTCACAGTCTGTGGACCAGTCTGGCATCCAACAACCAGCCCAAATCAGCTCACAATTTGTGGGCCAGCCTGGCATCCAACAGCCAGCTAAAGTTAGCTCATAGCTTGCGGACCAGTCTGGCACCCAACAACCAGCCCAAGCCAGCTCGCAACCTGTGGACTAGTCTGGCATTCAACAACCAGCTCAAGCCATCTCACAGTATGTGGATCAGTCTGGCATCCAACAACCAGCCTAAGCCAGCTCACAATTTGTGGACTAGTTCGGCATCCAACAATTAGCCCAAGTCAGCTCACAATCTGTGGATCAATCCGGCATTCAACAACCAGCCCAAGCGAGCTCACAATCTGTGGACCAGTCTGGCATCTAACAACCAGCCCAAGTCAGCTTACGGTCTGTGGACCAGTCTAGTATTCAACAACCAGCCTAAGTCAGTTCACAATCT